CCAGAAATCTCCACTTCAGCAGCTCTTACATTCACCAAACTTTACACTTTCATTCCTCTCTGTGCTCTGAAGGTTAACACAGAGGGGTTTGTTCACTCAGCATTCAGACACTCACTTGTTCAATAAGATAATAATAAATAACTCATAGTTTCATGGTGATATCTATGAGTTGAATGTTTCATCTGTATCGTCTCCTCTGAATTAACCGATTAATTTACTAATCCTGCCCAGAAATATTTCACTAGAAGCTAATGACGCGTTCAATCTAAATTCAACACACATGCTGGTACTGCCCTCTGCTGGATTGAGCGGCTCATTGCACGTATTGACGGGATTCATCATGTGTCAGCGTCGCACCGCATGATGGTACAGTGGTGCATTTTAAACCAATCACAGCAGTAATTTAAGGAGTTCATGCAGGAGCGTCAGTGTTTATTAAGTAAGCACAAGTGGCAGATCCTGAAGAGCCGGTTTAGAGCTCTCTGTGGAGCGTAATTGTGTTAAAGAGAGAGAGAGAGAGAGAGAGAGAGAGAGAGAGAGAGATCATGTTCAGATCAATGGCGACACACTGACACTTGTCTTCCCTAAAGAGCACGCAAAGCAACAAAGACACAAATGTAATATAAGGCCTAATGGAAGCAGGAGTGTCAAGTTGCAGAAACATCCCTCTTGTGTTTCCCCGGCCTGTGCATCTGAAGCAGGACATTTGAGATGGTGAACAACAAGATGGTCAAAAATAATAACAATAATTCGACCAACATTCTCAAAGACTTCCTGCGTTTTCTCAGGGTTGTTTATGCTACACTGACGTCATTGATCTCACGTTCGGAGGAACAAAACTACAAGTTGCAGGTAATTGCTTCAGGGTACTTTGGGATCAATACTGTGCCAACATATCAGGCTGTATTGGAAAGTGTCTGGTGATTGCTTGCTACATCAATCCGGCTACAACAGAGAGCCATTTCCTCGAGTCGCTGCCCTGCCCTGCTCCTCTTTGTGTGGAAAGAGTATACCAGCCAATTGAGGCAGATATTTCCCCCTCATTGTCCTTTTCAGGCTTCTTAAACAAAAAACAAAACAGAAAAAGAAACGCCCGAGCTGTTTGGTAGAAGTTTGTGAAACCGTTTCAACAGACCAACGAGGGCGTCGGCCTGAGTGGTTTTTCGGGGTCTGTGGATATCCTCTGGGGACCGGAAAAAGCTCTTCGCCCTGGATGCAACATGATGGACTGAGCGCCTGCGATGGTAGATGATGGTAAGGGGATGTTGGTGGTTTACAGGCGTTCTCTTGAGGAGATGGAGATGGGCGTAGGAAGGGTGGATGGTTGTTTGGTGGGAATCTGTAGCACTGCATTTGTTACTGGTTTCTCAGGTGGGCGGACATTTTTTTTTGTTTGTCAGCGTCTCCTTCTCATTTCTGGATATTTCTGATGGTGAAGAGATTTAATATTATTGTTGATTCTTCAAAAAATACAGACAAAGAAAACTTGATCCAGATTTAAAGGTGGGTGTTTGTTGTTACTTCTATTCGTCTGCTTTTCAACTGTTTTTCCAGTGGCAAGAAATGTTGAAAGCTTGGAGACTTTATGAGGTAGAATATTATGTGTTATTCCATAAAGCTGATTTGGGGGAAAAGTCAACATCTGAACAATTAAAGGCTTTTTTAAGAATAGGATTATACATCAATATATATAAAACTGCCGTTTTTGTCAAGAGTAATTTTTACACAGAATTTGAATATTACGCAGCAAAAAAGCGCCATATTCTTTTCAGAATTATCTTTTTAAACCGCGAATAAATGCATCAACTAATCACATTGCCTCTAAGCTATCGTGTGCAACAATACGGCAACTGTGTCGTCCGATTTAGGACGGCGTGCAAAACATTTCACAATAAAATCATTTGCACTGTGGGAACTCAAATTCTCTTAAGAGAGTTTCTCTAAAAGGAAACTCAATAGAATATCTTACGGTAGCTTTAGGCAAAACAGTTTGACAAACGCTGCTCTGCTTGAAGCGTTTAATGAAAAAGGGTTGCAACTGGCGCAAATTTTCGGCGCTGCTTTTGTTATATATTCAAAGCGGAGTTTTTTACATGTTCGTGTCTTTTATACTTCACACTTACGATGTGTGATTTAAAGTGCTCAAAAGAGTCTTTCTGATCATATTTATCTGCAATTTTTATGACGTATATCACTCTTAAAATAAGTAATGTTGTTTACAGAAAAGATTTTACTTTACCATGCATTAGTCGTAACTTTCTGTATTAGAATCAGAGACCTCAGATGTGGTTTCTTGCTCCGCGTTTACTCTACAGAATCCCCCAGGAGGCCATGCAAGGCAGCCCAGAGAACATCCCCCTGGGAGTGTGCACCCTCTCCCAGTCCAGGGACCAGCTGACGCCCCCGAGCCGCACAGAGAGCACCGTGTTCAGCCTGTCGCGCAGCGAGTCCGTCTGGACCGCGGAGACCTCCCCCAGCAAGTGTGAGGAGTTCTGGTTCGCCATCCACCTCATGTCCACAGGGGGCAGCTTCCTGGCATGCGGCATCATCATCAGCGGCCTGTGGTTCGCTGGCCACTGCAAGAAGGTGACCAACATCATGGGACCGGCCCTGCTGTCCATCGGGCTGATGGTGTTTGTGGTGGGCGTGGTCCTGATCCCCATCACCAAGGAGAACAGGAAGCGAACGATCATGAAGAAGCCCTTCAGCTACTACAAGCCTCCAGTGTTCAACCTGTGACGGTCACAAAGCTTCACGTTTGGACGCCGTTCAAAGGGAGAAGCTTAAAGAGCACGCTGGATCCAAATACACCTTTATTTCCAGCATGGGAGCCTCCGTGGAAACTCATAATTAAAGGAGTCCGCGTGGTGACATTTATGTTTATTTCTCTGGGATTGACAACGCTAAGCTCTTATCTCAAGTGTGCATGAAAACGTTTTGTATTAATAACCATGGCTGTGCAACAAAAGGAGAAGGTGAGAGCACAAGGAAGACAAACGTGCGAGAACAAAATGCAATTGTTCACACGCAACTTAAGCGAGAAGGATACTAGAAAACTGTCCTCATGAATATTCATGAGGTAAAAGTGGACAAGGGGGATTTCCTAATGCTGTGTGGTACACTGTGTGGTATATGCCGATTCATGAATAATTAAAGGTTGTGAGAGCTTATAATTGTCACTTCCCGGTTTACTGAGTCTCGTTGCTTCCACCGGCGTCCTTAGCCTGCGTGCATTCATCCTGAAATATATGTAACGGGTAAAGATTTGACTGCTGTGGCCAGAAAGCACATTTTCATGAGATTTAAATATCAAGTTTTATTTAACCCGTTCTGACCCAGCGTCCATTATAAGCATGAAATATTCATATTCAATGAAATAGTCTTTGCCCGAGTAACTAAGCTATAATCCATATGTAATGGATCACATGACTAGTTTCTCTCGTTCAAATAAGCTTTATAGGCATGAATGTTAAAGTTGACGAAACATTATTGCTAAATGACATATTGTTGATTTATTATGTTTTACACAAGAAAACAAAGTAGATAATTACAAGCAACCGTATTCTGTACAGTGACAGAGAGACAGAGTTTCAGTATCGTTCAGCTCATTGTTTTACACTTTTGTTTCTCTCTCACTGCTCTCAACATCAACATTTTGAGCTGCGGACGCTGTTTTCAGTGAAAAAGCACACAAAGAAACTATTTGCATTACTTACCCAGCACCAAGCAACACACACACAACAGTTAGCAACTAGCTGTTGAACATAGTGGAGCATTTAGCAGCTAAAGAGCCCGATACTGTGAGTGGAACTAGTTACTAGATGTTTAATTAGGCAAATGTCGTTAACTTATAAGGGGATAATATGACAATACACAAAGTATCCCTGTACAATGGTTCTCATGATAACTTATGAAAAGTATTTTTTTTATTTTGTGTGTGTTTTCCTACTAACGTCCAGCAACACGAGCTGGTGCTCGTGTTGCTGGACGTCATGGTTTGGGTTAAAATAACTACAGACAGTGCGTTACTTAAGTGCGAAGGTTACGTAACAAATTTGGTTTGAAATAACAGCAGGGTTGACTTTGCAGTGGTACGGAAGTTACGTAACAAATAAGTCAACGTTTGGGTTGAGTTAACTAAAGCCATCAAAAACAGGAAACTCCAGGGCCCTCTCTCTTAGACGGCTCCAATGCCTTTATTGTAACGTTGGACCTAAAAGCAAACCCCTAACTCCTTTAAATAAACGACAAATAAATCAATAATGACAATAATATTGAGTTTACAGCCAACAACTATTCAGTAGAATACAAGAGAGAAATCAGCTGACGAGACTTTGGCTAAAACCACCTTTAAATGGTCAAATCCATTTTCCTGTTGAAGACATTTTCTCAGTCAAACCTTCCATAATAGTGGACATGCAAATAAATAAAATGTAATAAAGACGCAAGTTTGAATAGAAAATTAGTTTTCGCCTCATTCGTTTATGATAGAAGAAAGAAACTAGAAAGAAATAGGTCAAGTTCTAATATTTCATGGCCCGTATATTAAAGTGACAGTGCGTAGGATATAGTGCCATCTAGTGGCGAAGTTGCAGATTGCAATGAACGGAACATCCCTCCGCTCACTCCTCACCGTCGGTAGTGTTCGCCGCCCAGAGCAAAAAACAAAACGTGGTGAGAAAGGCTGAGTCATGATGCATTTAAACCCTGAATATCAATTTGAATGTCAAACCACATGTTAAAAAGTCCTGCAAGTCCTTTTGCATTTATGGCAAACCAGACGACATTTAGATACAACAGGAACAGCAGGCTAAGGAAACAGTCCGTGTGTGTGTGTGTGTGTGTGTGTGTGTGTGTGTGTGTGTGTGTGTGAGAGTGTGTGTGTGTGCACTGAAGCAGCCTGAGGGAAACACCTTGTTTACCCTCACTTTTAAGGTGGGGCGTTTCTCTGCAGGTACAGCGCGCTGCACTCGGCTCGCCATCCTCACCGTTATACGAGCTCGAGGCAGCGGTAATGTCCCCACCATGGGTCGGATAAAGTGCATAGGGGGATGCCTGTCTGTGTTCATCGCCGCCGTCCTATTCGACGTTCTCGGCGTAATCCTGCTCTTCATCGGCATCTTCGCAGACGTGCGCATCGGCGGCCGCTTTTACGGCGACTTTTTGATCTACACCGGCTCTCTGGTGATCTTCACCAGCCTGGCCTTCTGGGTCATGTGGTACGTGGGCAACGTGCCGGTGTCTGAGGACGACGGCTGGATGAGGAAGAGGAGCGGCGGCGTCGCGCGGCTGGCGAGGAAACTCACGGAGAGGCTGAGCCAGAAGCTGAAGCCGGAGGCCCGCGTGAAGTACGTGGAGGAGGATAAGAAGGAAGGCAGCCAGGTGAGCGCACCTGCACCTCGCGAGGCCAGCCGGGTGACGTGGGGCAGATCCACAGTGTACCACAACGAGGGCTACGAGGACTCTGTGGACTCCCTTTCTGTGGAGAAGAAAGTGGAGACAGGACAAGAAGAAAAGACAGAGATCTGAACCTCCAGCTGGTGCACCTGATGGGTAGCTTCACCTTAGATGCTTTAAATGTGCCATGTCTGCTTACATATCAATGCTGCTGCTTCTGTAACGACTGTTATATATTATTACATCATTCTCAGACAAAACTAAATGAAGGTTCATTGACAGGGTTTTTACCAGCACAAACAAAGTATGTAATGCGTCACATTCAGAGAACTGCTGAGTGATGATGCATTTAAACCCTGAATATCTATTTGAATGTCAAATCACATGTTAAAAAGTCCTGCAAGTCCTTTTGCATTTATGGCAAACCAGACGACATTTAGATCTGTGAATGAAGAACAACAGGATAAGGAAACAACAGTTAGTGTGTGTGTGTGTGTGTACACAGGGTTTTTAGAAATACTGAGGCACACCCTTCAATATATTTAGACACTAAAGAGTTTTCATTTTCAGTAACACTTTACTGAAAATGAAAGTGTTACTGAAACATGTATAGACCAGTGTTACTGGTCTATACATTTCCTGGAAAGACTTCAGTCCTACTGATAAAGAACAAACACTGTGTTTAGATGGTTCACTCTGAATTATTCAATTCCTATCGAGGTCGAAATGACATTTCAAAGCTTTCTTCACTGTCATGCAGAGCTGGATTGGCAACTGTTCATTTCAAATGTGTTAGTTAATATATATATTTACCACAGGTTGCATTAAATTGATAAACGCTTGTGATGATTGACTGCAACTGAAACCAATCAAATAGTCCATTTATTTATAGATCTACGCATAACAATGATCGATTGAAGGTATCGTTTGATTGGATAACTTTGGATAATACTCGGCACTGGGTTGTTTCAGGAGACACCTTAAAGGTATCGAGTTACCAGTCCTATCAGAGATGGGGGTCAATAGGGGCTAACAGCTCTTTTTCAGCCCCCTGCCGGTTAATCCGGCCTTCTGCTGGAATATAACTCTATCATTTACTTATTTTCTTGCTGAAAGTATATTTAATCTACACAATAGTTTATAGCGTTCTCAGAAAGGCTGTTGTGTCCATGCAACAAGGAGAAATGTTCCCTTGTTGACTGTCCTCCAATATTTCATCTTAATTTATTACTATTTTTACACAAATGCTTTGCCAAACACATTGAACATCTGTTATTCATGTCGTAGCTGCTGCCAGACCGAGTGAACTCAAGTCGTGTTTGCTTTCCGGCTGGCGGGGAAAGCAACACAAACACTGGTCCGACTGGTTTGCCTCAGTGGTTTTGGTGTCGGTTAAACAAAGCTGAAATGTGAATGTGACACCCAGTATGACATGCTGTATGTCCACTAAGATGTATCCGTCTCTACTTATTTCATTTTGAGAATATAGACTGACGCACAAGATGGATTCCAGATAATGGCACACCTTATGCAAATGTCCCGGTGCCTGGCAGGGTTGTGTTTATTGTGTTAGGGTTAGGGTCACACAGAGTTAACATGACTGACAGCCTCACGCATCTTTAAATCAAACACATGACAACGTTACAGTAAATAAAAGGTAATCCAGCAGCTGTGGGAGGTATGGGCAGTGAAAGCCACAGAGCGGACACAAACAGTGGCAGCTTGACTGGTCAAACAAGCTGCTCGCAGGAAAGTTTCCATTGCGTGTGCTTCCTCTTTGTGACAGTCACTTCACAAAAGGTGTCATTGTTATGGAGATGCATGAACTGTGAACCAGCAAATATTTACGGGGAAGGCTTGAAAGCATGTATCCGTCCTGCAGAGCTGCTCCCTGGTTAAACATTAAGGGCTGCATTTCTTTCCTGGGTTAAATCTCAAGTGGGAAAGAGCTGATAGAAGATGCAACACACTGATGCAGCTCTGCACGTTGGTGTCATTAGCTGAACAAAAAGATCAGGGGGGGGGGCTCATTAATTATCAGGCTTATCTCTGTGTAAACACAAGCTCAGTGGCATCTGATTATGAAATACGTATATGTGCATAAATCTGTCGCGCGGGGTTGCAGACAATGGGTCGATGATGCGTCCGTCACATTCTAATGACATAAAAAGGTGCAAAACAAGTCCACCCTGCAAGGGAATGAGGATGGACAGTAGAACCCGTTGTGGTTGCATACCAGGAGTCTTGTGCATTTAAAAAAAATGTGAGGCGTGCTGAGAGTGAATGATTGAAAGGGCAGGACAGCACTTTACCGGAGAGACTTGCTGAGACGACATCCACCTGGTCCACCGTCTCACCCAGCGCGGTCATGGAGCACAGGAAGTGCAGCCACTTCTTCCTGTCGCTGGCTGTGATTTTGGACGTTGTCGGCCTCATCCTCTTCTTCGTGGGGATCTTCGCTCCCTTGAGTTTCTGGGACTTCTTCGTGCTGTCCGGGCCTTTGCTGATCTTCATCAGCCTGATCTTCTGGATATTCTGGTACATGGGGAACCTCACTGTGACCGAGGAGGAGCTCAACCTGGTGAAGCCGGACATACTGTGACCTCCGGTGTGAGGGAAGCAGGACTGAGTCAGCGCTGGCTTCCAGCTGATGGACTCCTTCAACCCAGCAGCATGAGAATGAGGAGGGGGAGGGGGCCCGGCAGGACAGACTGGAGCAGAAGCTTCCCTTAAAGAATCATGAATTTGTGAACCCTGAGGTTTTGCCTCCGTGAAGGATGTGAGATAAAACCAAATCCGGGAAGGAACACATATATATAAAAAGAAGAAACAACTATTCCACCCTTTGACTTCAGGGTGAAAACAACATGTCATGTTTAATATGGACAGCAGGGATTACTGGACTTTGTTGGAGTGGAAATCTTATTTCTCAGCACTTTCATTGGGAGGAAACCTTTTTAAAAAGCGCACCATCATGACACTGTGTGCCTTATTTATGTCATTATTATCACAGAATGTATATGTTGTGAGTTGAAGTATATGTATTTTAACATGAGAGGGAAAAGCTTTTGAGACATGTGACATTTAAACATGCTTTAAAATGACACGTTGCTGTGTTCTTTGTGAGGCCGCTCCTTAATCAAAACTGGTCAAACACGTACTGTAGGTTATTTAGCACAGATCCACCCAGAGTGGAGTTCAACGGGAACAACAAACTAAACTATTGTATGTAGAGAGACAGGAAACCTGCTCCTTCACAAAGCAACAGAGCTCCAGTGGCTATAAACACATGTGCTACAGGTCTGAGCCAATTAGCTCCAAAGAAGAAGAAGAAAAACGCAGTGCGATCTTTAGTTTGTTCACAGCAGCCGGCGAGGAGAGTGAAACTAATACTCTTGCTCCACGCCCGATTCTTCCAGCCTTAATCAGCACTCAAGGCTCCATTAGCTCCCTCAGACGTGGAGAGTTATTAATGTGTCCATTTGGGTCCGGCCCCTGAGAGAGGAAATGGAGGAGAGGCATAATGGGTCTCTCACTCCGCAAAGAGGTGGAAACCCTGCTGCTAAGCACCTCCCCCCCCCACAGGACACCGCCTTCTCTGTTGTGCTCAAATCCCCCAAGTTGTCTTGACGGAATATGTCATTATAATCTTAATCACAGCTGTGCTCCACAAATGCTGGTGGCATCTCTCGAGACAAGAGGGTCTGCTCTGAGAGCGGTGAGGACATGAGGCTCAGATACACATTACAATAAATATGATAATAGAAATGACAAAACGTATGAAATAATAACAATTATAACAATAACAAACTATAAAAAGAAAAAAGAGATCTTAAAATTATCTGTCAAAACTTTATTACTAGTATTGGGAAGCATTGTATCATAATAAGTATTTCTTTCACTTTTTAACCAGATGCACTAAAAACAGGTGTCTCTATCTCACTGACATGTTACCTGTTAGTTGATTGTGTTTCATATTAATACTAATCATTTTTATTGTCCACAAATGTGGAAATTAACCTTCGGCTTCACAAGTTGTTTACAATAAATCATAGTAAATCACAATACATACAATAAAGAATAACAGAGTGAACTGTGTTTACAGAGTTCTGGCTTTTGGTATGAATAACTTTCTGTAAATGAACAGAATCAGACATATTTGTAACTCTGGACGGTCAACTTTTGCCGCATCATGGTTGGTTCCAGCTTAAATCAAATAGCACATTATGGTGAAGCACATCCTCTTTGTGTCGGTAATGCTGAGCATGAACCCCCATCGTGTGGCTTGAGAGAGCTTTGGATAACTCCCATTAGCTGTGCCACAGCGCTCACTGCTCTAGTAATACCACAAATACACACAAAGTACAACAAGAAACACTGATAGTGTATATGTAAACGTTAAAACAATACTACAAACACAGACAGTATATATGTAAACGTTAAAGTACTACAAGAAGCACAGAGTGTGTATATATATATGTGTGTTAAAATAATACCTACAAGAAACACAGTCTCTCTATATATAGATATATATAGATATAAATGTTAAAATACTACAAGGAGTCATATATAAACTCTAAAAATCCCTTCATCTATCTGAGACAGATAGAATTCTATTTAATATTTCAGATGCAGCTTCATCATATAATCTTGATATTAAATGTTATCTGAGATTTGTACTAAATCGATTACTTAAATAAAGCAATCAATCGTATGTGAATGTATTCTCAGATAAAGATGGGTCCCATTAGGCAGCTCATATTGGAATAAGATAAGAGAGGATACTCCTTTATTAGTCCCACAGCAGTGAGGCAGCACAGAGGATAGAGCAACAACAAGGAATATAGATATAATAATACATGTAATATAAGTAGAAACACGTTCTCTTCACACTATTATATATAACATGCACCTGTTATTAATAAACAGATGAATGCTGGGAGACTTCAGGTGATGGCAGTGTGGTTATTATTCTGCTCTGTTTGTGAACATGACTTCCCCCTAAAAGCTTAAGATGGCTGGTGATCCATGATGTCATCTCTTGGAGGAGTGCGATGGTGCATGTCTCCCTCCAGTGGTTGGTAGAGTGCAAGTTAAAGGTCAATGCGACTTATGGGTTCTTATGGGCCCTTCAACTATTCCCTACTTGAATAAAAAAATAATGAAATACATGTCTGCATTATTTTTGATTGTGGGCAGCATGTGCTTCAATATTATTGGTGAATAAAATAAATGTAAAAAAATGAATATGTTGGGTTTACCGAATGAATTTGTGTGGAACCTGTTGACGAACTAGAATTATGTTAAACTAACAAAATAAATTGGATGAGAACCTAATGTTTTAATGAATTTAACTTAAATTAATAATTGTACTTCTACCAATAAGATACATGATGAAAAGTAAAATTAAAAACACCAGCCTGTAAATATATTATTGAAGTCCATATAACTTAATTGACTTAATTTGGGTAATCTTAAATATATCTTATTATCTATTTTTATAGTTAGCTCAATTCATAAGCATTGTGTTACTACAATACAAGTTCATTAACTCATGTTAATCTAATAATTTTGCTTTAGCTAACCTAATACAATTTTGTAGGACCTGTTGACAAAATAATTTAAATTAAAGATAGCTTTTCGAGTGTGCATGTATTGAATGTGTGATCAGTGAGTTTGAAATACAAGCAGGTCTGTTTCAACTCAATCTGCAAACATTCAGAAGCACGGCCATCTGAAGTGTGTTTTTAAAGCAATCTCATATTAGCAGCATTGACAGCAGTTAAAGATGAAATATGTAAGATGAAGCCACGCGATCTAAACAAACAAAGGGGCAGCATTTCACCTCGACTACTGGGTCCATATCTAAATATACAGTCAAAATGTAACCAAAAAACTCTCAGCTAAAACACCCAGCACTCCTCCGGCAACGTTTTCTCGTTTCTGCCACTTTGGATTTCATCCAATAAACAAACTATCCAAACGTACACTTGTACCTTCAACGTGATTGATAAGTCCTCGGGGCAGCTTCACTTCTTCTTCCTCTCATGTTGGACTGAGGACAAACCAGGTGGCGACCTCCGGTTCTGAAAAGTGAAGCCAATGCGGAAGTGTCTTAAAGCTGCATTCTCTCTAGTGTCCACCAGGGGGCGACTCCTCTGGTTGTATAGAAGTCTATGAGAAAATGACTCTACTTCTCTCTTGATTTATTACCTCAGTAAACATTGTAAACATGAGTTTATGGTCTCAATCTCTAGTTTCAAGTCTTCTTCAATACAGCATGATGTTCATTCGGTCTCTACCACGGTGTTCTCCGGTCTGGGAGTTGTCCGTGTTTTTGTCTTACAACTTTAACCCTTTCACATGTTTTCACATTAATGAAACATTTTGGTTGCCTATTCAGCATTCGGTTGTATTTAGCTCCACTTTCCAACTCTATATAAAGTAGTTAGAATATGCTCCACCTCTACCAGCTGCATCATTAAAATGCATCTTACATGTTAGAGTATCAATACAAATATTCCAATAACATAATATAGATAGTATAATAATATAACTCTCAGCAAAAACTCCCAGCCCTCCTCCAGCAACGTTTTCTGGAGTAATAATAAGACGCTCCTCGATCCTCCCAAGTCTCTTATTTATCATTTCCTCGATCTATAATGTCATCGCAATCTTCGCTTGAACCGGAATTTGGAAATGACGTCTGATGGAGGACGTCTGATGTCCCCCAAGACCCGTTTGAGAGGAGAACTTTGAGGAGAACCTTCAGGCCAAAGAGCTGATATCAGATCAGCCTGACCTCACAATCAGACAGCAGACTAGCGGGGAAGGGAAGCAGCACATGAAGCTTCTCTAGCTGCACACCAGACAGGTTAGGCTAGCTGCATGACGTCATGCTAATAACGTATTTAGCTTTTTAAAACAACGGGACAGATCCAGCACGGACAGCTAGGGAGAGAGGGACATGAAGCACCTGCTGAGACATGATGTATAGTTATAAATACATCATTATATATATATATGTGTGTTTTATATTATAGTGAATATTATTATATGATATATATATATATATATATATATATATATATAATTATTATATTATACTGAATTCCCTGTGAGGGAGACTAAAATATAATGTCCTGACGTGTTTATCAAAGTGTTATTTACTGCTTTTTTTCATGTTGGAATAAAGGTTAAATATTTAACTGCAAAGTAGTAATACGTGTTTGATAACTTAATGTTTTTGCATTAAATCATTCTGGGATGTTTGCTGAAATTGATTGGATGTGGCACAGCCCTACAGAGAACATGTTCCACCAGCTAACACTGCTGCACACATTTAATCTTGCATCAAACATTCATCCATTTAATGTATCTTTGTTTCTGGTATAGTATGGAAATGATCAGTAAGGATCATTGAAAATGTACATTTTTATTGATATCGTGATTTCTCGATTTATGGCTTTGTATTTCAAATAAGAGAAAATTCTTCAGATGTCTTGTCTGAGCAAAAGTGCAAAAGGCATTACAAAATTAAACAGTTTTACAATTACTTAAAACAGGCAACAGCTAAGAATTTGAGAAGTTTTATATTTGTTCATGATTCAACAATGATTCCCTCGTTATTTTTTTTACTAATAGCTGATAATTACAGCTCTATAATTTATGATTTTATAACCTTAAAACTAATATTTTGTAATAAGGGACAAAGACGATCTTGTGTATTGCATTGTTATACTAAATAATGCAAGAAATCAGACACACAAATGCATTTTTTATTAAATCAAATGTCAACGTAATGATGATTCAGATCATGTTGTTTGTCATTCCTCTGAAGACATGTTTTATGTCCCACAAACTTAAAACTAGTTCCAGTACTAAGCTTATTCTTCTTCTGTTAACTAGTCTTGTTTTTGACCTCCATGCTGTCAAACATCCATTAACGCCTCATCATCACCGCACACTTCACACCTTGTCAGAGGTGTTATCATCTGATGGAAGGCCTTCAACTGGTTGCACGCGCGTGTACGCACGTGCAACCACACCACACACCGCTCAGGCAGTCCCGCCCTCCTCTTCAGTGTTTACAAACAAGTGGCCTACATACAGATGGCAGGGTCACTCACCCTCATGACAAGGTCTGCATACGGGACAGCACAGGATTACAGACCTGCGGCGTAATATGAAGCCAGTCAGTCTGTTGTGATGTGTTTGTACTGATTACAGACTTGATCATTTAAAAATATAGCTAACCTCATCACTACACAGTAACAAGATGCTGCAAAGGGTGCATCGTGCAAAACCAGGCATGGATTCCGTAGTGGAGCAGGAAGACCATCATGCACTGAGGCTTTTTACGCTGCTTCGACGTGGAGAGACTGAAAATAATCTCATTCATGTGGTAGTTTCTTGTTTTTTAATGCATGGATAGTTGTTAATATAGATGCATTATCACAGATTATAGATTATATTTCGCTGTAGGGTTTATTGTGACTGATCGCACGTGTAGACCGGTTGCTCCACTCCTTTCCTGTGTGTGTGTGTGTGTGTAAAAAGCATATGCGCGTATTGCTACCCACCAACCGACCTTGAATCTGTCCTCAGATTAGTTCTCTCGCGTGATTGGTCGCGGGCGCAAGAGCTGCATCGGCTTTCCTCGATTCCCATTGGCGGAGCGCGCTGTCACTCAGGCCACATCCGCCCTCTAAGCTCCGTTTGGTTGGATCTCTCCGCTACCCTTTCTCTCGGCGGTGGGTCGGAGCCTGCTGTCCCCCGGCCTCCTCGCATGTTTCCCCTCTAAATTCCTGTTTTGAATTTGAAGCCCCTTCTCTTGTAGATTTCATTTTTACACGCCTCTGTTCTAGGCCACACAGTCGGGCGTCCACACACACACAAACCGGTGTTTTTTGTTTTTTATTTGTCCCAAATATTACCTCAAACCTCCTCCAGAACATGGCCGTGGTGGTGAGCGGATCGTCGTCTGGGCCGGTCGCCCGGCTCGAGGGCCGTGAATTCGAATACATGATGAAGAAGCGCTCGGTGACCATCGGCCGGAACTCGTCTCAGGGCTCCGTGGACGTGAGCATGGGCCACTCGAGCTTCATCTCCCGGAGGCACCTGGAGATATTCACCGCCAGCGACGACGGTGGCGGCGGCGGAGGCACCGGCAGCAGCGGGGATTTCTACCTGAGATGTCTCGGTAAAAACGGGGTGTTTGTGGACGGAGTGTTCCTCCGACGAGGCGCCCCCCCTCTGCAGCTTCCACGAATGTAAGTCCCCCCCCCCCTCCCATGTGGATGCTAGCTCTAGTGTAGCCATGCATGCTAAGTACACAGTCAACAACATTGGGTTTGTATTGCCTAGCAAGGATCGAGAGGACCACGTGTTTTATTAGCATGTTAGCAAGAACTACGCATCCTGTTCCCTATGCCATTTTCTTTGTTGACATTTTTTGTTAGCAAACGGCATTAACGTGACACGTGGACACTCTTAAGTCCCAAAAAGATGTGTACCCCGTGAGACTGTAAACATTCGTCCCGTGTCGTCATGCAAACACGTTAGCTTAGCATGTTAGCTGCAGCTTCTCTAGTAGTTGTGAATGGAGTTCTCCTCTCGACCCCTAAACGTAAACAAACCAGCCCGTCACCGCCCTGCCGGCTCACAACACAGAGCCTGCTGCACCTTTAGCCTCTTTACACGCAGCCGAAGTCATGCGACGTTCGCCATTGAAGCAAGGAACTGACCCTCAAAGTTAATTTAACAATTAAATAACACGTTTTTGACATGGAGATTGGTGCATTTCTTGAAGGAGAGTTGTAGTCTGCACGGTGCCATTGTTTAACTTTAAGAGTTGTTGTGAAATAAACACACATTTATCACGCAGATTAATCTATCGCCCCGGTCTGTACTTCACGTCAGTAATGGGTTGTAACACTGACAGAAAGTAACAATAGTCAGGTTCCAGCAGGAAGTGCTGGCGTGATAATTAAATCAACAGAAAACTAATCACCGACCGTTTTGATAAAATAATGATTAAGTTTAAATGGAAACTTCTCAAATGTCTCTGTGTTTTGTACTGTTGGTTGGAAGAAAATAAGCAATTTTAAGTAGAACTGAGACAGTTATTCTGTTAATTACTATGTTGATGGGCAGGAGGTTAATCCCAAATGTTGATAACTATTTTTAATTGTCATTTATGAAACAAAAAGTCAACCATCCGCTCCTTTTCTCTCTTACATCGTAGTACGTTGTGTATCTTTGTGTTTTGGTCTGTTGGTTAAGGACGTGAACGGGAAGATCGTCTCTAGTGGAAAATACAACAACCCAGCTTGTTTACTTTTTTTGTGCTTTATTTAAGATTGTAACATGCTTTAAAAGTGTTTTCTGTTTATTCACTGAAGTGACTTTTACTGTAGATAAACCTGCCAACACTGGCCAGACTTCCCACACTGCTCTCCGCTGTTGTGCAATCTCTCAATGTGCAACCACTTGTTTGTTCTGCACAAAGAAAGAGAACTTGTTTTGACTTGGTTTTGAATATCTAGACCGCTAACGTTGCAGAAAAATATCATCTGCAGCTGAACGTGTTTGTGTTGTGTTAGCTACATCACACACCATCACATTAGCGAGCACAACGAGGAACTAGGTTGGAGCAGCGTTGGTTTCAGGTTCTCGTATTGATTCGCCAATAAAGAGCTTTTAATCAGCAGCAACACGGACCTCCATAAGTAAGGCTCCCAGCACGGCTCACGTGCTTCAGTGTAATCCTCGAGCTGGAGGCGACTCTCGGACGACTCTCGGACGACCCTCGGCGTCCACGTTAAGACGGCCGGAGACGCATATCGAGAGCACGAGAGCGCTGGCGGGGCGGTGGGCCGTGGGGACAGGTCGCTGGTATTCCAGGGATTCCTCTTCGGTGATGTAAACAGAAAGGAACGGCCCTCACTCCCCTGCTCTCCCTCCCCTCTCCCACACCCGCAAATCCTCTCCCAAGTTGGTGCTCTTCCTGTCTTGCCGTCTTCTTTTGTTTACGTTCTCTTTTCTTTTTTTGTTGCGTGGTGGGTGGGGGTGAAAATCGAGGGAAAGTTTTTCCTTTTCAGTCGATCGAGCTTTGTTTGTTGCCGTCCTCGCAGCTTAGCAGCATAGCAACTGTGTGTTTGTGTGTTTCTTTTTGGGGAGTTCGGGCCTCATTGTTCACACAGAGAGAAAATAGGGCCAATAAAGAGGCTTCAGTGAATGCATGCTTTGAGGTGGATACTCCACAACATGGACACAGCCCCCATACCACCGAGCCTCAGATAATCAACAATGTCTCATTATCAATGAAATTATAGATGTTTCCTCAATGAAGCTTCTGACTACACTTCATTCCCTAAACCTGTAAATATCTAAACAACTAGATTTGGAAAAAGGCATGTTTTTTTCTGTAGTGAAGCACAAGTATCTTCATCAGCATCTAACATGTTCAAACAATATTCATCAATACTTCATCGAACTGTTTTGTTTTGGTCATTCAAATTAGCAAAAATGCAGAACGTTGCTTCTCCATAAAACGACGTTTTATGTCGTTGTTAAATTCATTTCTTTGTGTTTGGAGCTGTTAGGTTGACATTTGATTAACTGAGTTGCATTTATACAGATGACTAATTTGCATTTATCACCACTTAAAACCTGTGACGCAGGTATTTGAGAATGTTAACATGTTTCCCTCTTCGTCTTGTCCGAACCATCCAGAACGTGTCGATAGCACGAAGCAACAAAGACTTCGAGTATCAAAAGCTGGTGTCTGATTTACAGTCGACAAGTTTCTTCCCTTTTTATTTTGGCTCCTTGTGTTACTACAACGTTAAACAAGGAAACACATTCTTCTTTTGTTACATGAAGAAAGGTGGTAGTACAGAAAGATCATCATCCAACCAAGTTATTGAGAGAAGTGTTCTTTCTTTGGTAGCTTTACATACGATCAAAACTAAGATGTTAAAGTATGAACTCTGCTGTGCACGTAGAGATGTTCTCAGTGGAGCGACGTGTCCGCCCGAGTGATTATTTAAATCCTTCAATACAAACCAGTTTGACGGCCTCTGTTCTCCATGAGCCTGCTCACCAAGCGTTGCTCTGCTGTCCGTACGATGTCCCAACAAATATGGGTTGATGCAGAGTTATACGTTAGATTAAAACATGTGAGTTTTGGAAATAATCTTTTGGACCGAGACGAGGAGCCACATCACGCGTGGTGTGTTTATTTGAGAGAGTGGAATAGAGTTGCTTTAAGTTCTTAATAATAATAATAATAGTTATGTCATCGTCGAAAATGAAGCTTTAAACTATTTGGTTCAGCCCCGTTCATGGTCGTGTATGATGTGGATTGTGATATTAAGGATAAGATTACAGCCTGTGATAGATATGATGTTAACGCTCCTTTTATAAACATTTATTCATGTAACTTAACACTGGGCTGCTTGCAAAACATCTTAAAGATGTCGGATCTCCATCAGAGCTGAGCCACAGGCCGCCACGACCATCTGGAGATCAGAGAGCAGATCAACCGTCTCGAGTGAACACCATGATGATATGAAAATAGAAACAATCGCCTAACCCACTCTGTACTCTGTATACACTCCTTATTGTTCTATATCCTCTTAAATGGTTGACAGTGGAGCTTAGTTATGAACCGATATTTATATTTGAACATTCGGTGTTCGTCATCCGCGTGGTGAAGCACAGACGAGAACACGACGGAGCAGGATTGTTTCTGTGATCTTTTATTATTTATTGATATATTTAGCCGTCACCGTCCCCACTCTGTCAGCGCTCCACAGCCGCTAGGTATTGAGAAGTGCTCTGATGTTATTTCAGGAATCCTTCCGTAACTTTGTCTCGTCTGTGGCCGTCCCGAGAGGCTGCCGAGAGGGAACGGGCACAATGCAAAGTGTCGGCCCTCACCAGTCTGGCTCCGGGAAGTGTTTCGGGCTAATTTGTGATGTAGGTGTCGGGGATACGCTTCTCTCAGCAGATGCCAGCTCTGTGAGGGCCCGGAGAAAGAAAACACAAAAACTGCTGTGCCTGGCACTCTAACGAGATGAAAACCAAAGTGTGTCTGCTCTGTCTCCCAGCAGTGATTTAGAGGAGTTTCCTTCTTTTCACTGGTATCTGTGAGTGTTGATTTATCATGACGGCTCCCTTTCATCCATCAGATATAGAAGTCTACAGTACACCAACGACGGGTCTGTTTTTATCAAGTCCAGAAACTGTTTTGATAAAAGGAATCCTCCCGACAACGTGCTCGGTTTCTGTTGGCAGCGTCCTCGCATTCCTGAGTCCATTTTGTTGGTTGTTGTCGTTTCTTTTTATTCCTGAACATCGAATGGAGACGCAATGATAGAAATGTCTCAGTATTTAAGTAACGTGTAGTTCTATAAGATGAAGAGGAAGTGACCATATCTGGACTGAGGAGGAGCGACGTAGAGACGCCGTATACGTCTCTGGTAGCGACCTGTCAATCACCGTGTAGCCCCGCCCTGAAGCATCCCCTGCTTTATGGTCTGTTTGACTCTAAATGGACCATAATGTACTAAATGAACATCATGCTGTATTGAAGAAGACTTGAAACTAGAGATTGAGACCATAAACTCATGTTTACAATGTTTACTGAGGTAATAAATCAAGAGAGAAGTAGAGTCATTTTCTCATAGACTTCTATGCAACCAGAGGAGTCGCCCCCTGGTGGTCACTAGAGAGAATGCAGCTTTAAGGCTCTTCAGCATCGGCTTCACTTTTCAGAACCGGAGGTTACTGCCTGGTTTGAGCTGAGGCTGGGCGATATATAAAATGTAGTTGATGGATTGTGGTTTGAACAACCTTTATTTTCTGGACAGGTGAATCCATCAACTCATTTTAAAAGCACTAATAATCCCGAAAGATACGTGCACGTTACCATTGGATGCATGTTTTTCTAATTGACATGGCGCTGAGGCTTGTGCCCTTATTAAAGCACATCTTCATATTCACCCATCCGCTCTAATGTAGGCCTGTCCTCCATGCAGAGCAGCAGAGCAGCTCCGGTCCTCTGCAGTGTAACCACCACGAGCTATCGGTGCTAATCTGCTGCTTTCTGCTGCTTCTGACCAAGAGGGATTCTCATCACTACATTCAGTATTCAAATTTAATTAACTTGCATGTCTCTCTCTGCTAATTAAAGTCATCCAGAGATTCTACCACAGCGGAGGTTTATGTGGCGTTAATCAAGTGCTCGCTGACACCCGAAACCCACCGGCGGGATTGAAAAGCATGTTTTCTTTACTAAATCACCAAAAATACACCTTTTATCACAGCCAGAAGCTGGAAAAACCACCGTTATCACCAGATTTTCATCTTTCCACCGGTCCTTGAAAGCATCATGTGTGACGAACGCTTCCATCAGAAAAAGCAACCAAAACAAAGCTTAAAATTGTGATATTTTACAAAAACTTTTTATTCTACACGTCTCATTTAATATCTCACCCCCCAGAAAGCTTTAGCTTGAACCACATCCTGTAAAAAAACATTAAATTCTGAGCTCCTCGGCGCAACTATGAAGCCATGATTGACTCATCTGAGACCAACAGTCACGTGACAAATAATCTGTGAAGCTTCGACTGAACTGCAGGCTGCTGAGCAGAGAGGTTTTAAAAATGTAAATAGTTTAATGTACATCTGATTTATGGTTTTGTAACTGTTATTATGCACCAAAGACATGCTTGGGTTCTCTCTGCTTCCAGCCATGAGTGTGTTGTTTCCATAGAGGTGCATTCTTTAAAAGAAAGAAGCTTCGTTTGAACACCGCGTCTTGTTTTCTGTTGCAGGTGCACGTTCAGGTTCCCCAGCACAAACATCAAGATCACGTTCACGGCCCTGTCCAGTGGGAAGAAAGTGAAGCGTGAAGCTCCAGAGTCCCCAGTGAAACCAGTCCAGCCCCACATCTCCCCACTGACCATCAACATTCCAGACAACATCGCTCACCTCATGAGCCCGCTGCCGTCGCCCACCGGCACCATCAGGTACTCGCCTCCGCAGGTCATCGCGCATCCACGGCCTTCAAGAGGGCAGGAAGTGACTTTTCTTTGTCTCTTCTTCGCCGACGATGGTTGATCATTTAGCAAATGTGTATTTGTGCAAATATAGCATTTAGCATTCTCTAAATGTATAGATGGATGTCCAAAACTAATCGGGTTTGAGGTTGTTTTAGTTAATTCAAGAAAAAGTAATGACTTGTTGAAAACAACAGGAACAGTTATTGAAATAAGTACATTTTTAGAAATATATAATCAAAAATCAAAGTAGTTCTGTATTGCTTTGCCTTTCACAGGAAACACTAACTTGTTTCCATGAGTTCTGTAACCGGTCCCGGGTCAGATCTCGGCGGTGGGAGGAGACCCTCCCACGGTGCCTCTCGTTGACCCTGAGGCGAGCCCTCTGTGGTGATCAGCTTAGGCTTAGTTCAGAGGCTGCAGGGCTCAGAGAGGGAGGCGCCTCTATCTCAGGCTCTTAGATCCTCTCAACCCCTGATCTCCAGCCAGATGGTTTCTCCTGTCCCACACGGGTCCCGTGGAGGTTATATGATAAGAATGTGTTGGTAGATAAACAGGCAGCAGGTGTAGAACGTGTTGTTTGTTCAGTTTACCATCATCTCCCCAGAGTCCCGTTAACGATGGAGATCCTCCTTTACGTCCCCTGGTTATTGAAGTCCGTTAAACGGATAATTAGACTGGATTCTGACTTGGATGCTTTGTTGCTTTAGGCCTCATTGTGGCTCCTAAAGTGACTGCAGTATTTCCACACAATCTGGGAGGGCCATTTGCATAGACGTCGGCCAAAAGACCACTGCAGCACTGCGGATAAACCTAAAGGTGCCCCTTCTGGGGTGATGCTATGTGATCTGTCTGTCGTGGTTCAGTGTGAGATAATCGTCACAGTAAGTTTGTCTTATTGTTATTATTGTGTGTGTTTCTCCTGCAGTGCTGCTAACTCGTGCCCCTCCAGCCCGCGGGGGGGCGGCTCGTCTGGCTACAGGATGGGCGGACGCATGGTCAGCTCTGCAGAGCTGCAGCTTATGAACGACAACTCGCAGCCCGAGAACGACAAAGACGCCTCCGGAGGGGACAGTCCCAAGGTGAGGGGGGGGGTTGAGTCTGGTCTCCCTCGTCAGGCTTTAAAATGGGAAGTTATCTTCTCAAAGTGTATGAAGAGAGAGTTGGGAGGAATCCCTCTTCTGTGCTTTTCTCGTGCTCACAAATGATTATTGTCACTATTATTGTGCTGAATATTTTCCTGATTAATCATTTTGTCTGTGAAATGTGAGAGAACTAGAGAGTGGACATGTCCCAGAGATCAAGGGGACGTCTTCATGTTGCTCTTCCTGTCTGACCAGCAGCAGCACATCTTCAGAAGCAGAGCGTCACATTAAAGACCATTGAAAAGTCAAATGTTTGGCAATTTCACTCAAACAACTATCAGAATATTAGCATTTCTGTTAATGAATTCATTATTATTTGAGCTCTAAACATGATGTTACTATCACCACCATATACTCTATTTACAGTATCTATGCTGTATTTTGCTGCATTTGGTTGTGAAAATAATGTAAATATTGTCTCAAGAATAATGAGCTACGAGCACACAGCGCGCTTGTGTTTACCGACTCGGCCGATGTAATGAGGATAATAACGGGTCCATAATGATCAGGAGGAAATGTTGCAGCCACAGTTTTAATGATTTTAGAGCGGCAGTGACAATGGGCAACTATCTAATTAATCATTTCAGTCATTTTTCTATCAAATGTTCTCAAACGTTTGCATCGTCTCCTATCGGAGCGTTTGCTGCTTTTCTATCCTTGTAAACTGAATGTTTGAGACTTTTGGTCGGACAAAACAAGACATTTGAAGACGTCTCTGGAACGCTTGTTATTTGCAGACCTGATTCAGTGCACATTGCCTATAAATGGTTCTGGCCGATATAAGTGATGAACTACATTTGTAAGATGACATTTAACAGCTGGAAGACTGTTTGAAGACGGTTTGTTTTCTGGGCGTAGTCGGCCCCGATTCCTAAATCTGCATTCCTCCTCCGCTCCGCAGGACGACTCCAAACCTCCGTACTCCTATGCACAGCTGATAGTCCAGGCCATAACGCTGGCTCAGGACAAGCAGCTCACACTAAATGGAATCTACAATCACATCACAAAGAACTACCCCTACTACAGGACCGCAGACAAGGGCTGGCAGGTGAGTGTGTTGGATCACTTCTCTCTGCACCGAACCCTCATGAGATAAAACGTCAACATGTGTTTTTTAACGTCCTCAACACTCGTCTCTCCTCCGTCGCAGAACTCGATCCGTCACAACCTGTCGTTGAACCGCTACTTCATCAAAGTGGCGCGGTCGCAGGAGGAGCCGGGCAAAGGCTCCTTCTGGAGGATAGACCCGTCCTCGGAGGGCAAGCTCATCGAGCAGGCCTTCAGGAAACGAAGGCCGCGGGGCGTCCCCTGCTTCAGGACCCCACACGGACCCCTCTCCTCCAGGTCTGGGTTCTGTGTCACACACTCTCCTGCTTTGACTTTCTCACACACACACACACACACAGTTCACCTCAGCCTCACAGATCGTCTTGTGTTTATCTCCCGGTGTTTTTATTGTTGCGTTCATGCTTGAGATTGAAGCATAAATATTCAGTCATGGATGCTCAACAAAGAGCTACTTCTTCTGTTCAATATTTAATTAAATTGATAACCGACATAGCCATCGGAGAGTTAACCGTCGTCTCTGTCGACCCTCAGGAGTGCCCCGGCGTCTCCGAGTCACTCGGGGGTTCTCTCCGCTCACTCCAGCGGCGTCCAGACCCCCGACAGCCTATCACGAGAGGGCTCCCCGGTCCCCCTGGAGCTGGAGAACTCCTCGGCTCTCGCCCCGCCGACCGCCACGGTGGTCCAGCCCAAACTGGCGGTCATCCAGGAAGCACGCTTTGCACAAAACACAGGTATGAGTCTCTCTCTGTCTCTCTCCGTCTGTCTGTCTCTCTGTCTCTCTCCGTCTGTCTGTCTCTCTGTCTCTCTCCGTCTGTCTGTCTCTCTGTCTCTCTCCGTCTGTCACTCACTCACGGCGGTTTAAAGCTGATGTTGTTTCTGGCTTCGGTCTTGATTCTCTGCCACGACATGTTCTTTTAGTTTTTTCATCTCTTTGTCATGTTGATTCTAGTCGGCTTTTCATAAAGGAGCGCACACATTCTTAGTTATCAGCTCTGTTCAGACATTAAAAGTCATCCGTAGATTTCACTGTAAGATGTTAGAATATCATTACATTTTATTACGACTCACATTATTTGTTTCGTGGCCAATTTCTGAATAGCAGCGTTCCAAACAGGCGGCAACCTCCGGTTCTAAGAAGTGAAGCTTCATGTGTTAAAGCTGCATTCTCTCTAGTGTCCACCAGGGGGCGACTCCTCTGGTTGTATAGAAGTCTATGAGAAAATGACTCTACTTCTCTCTTGATTTATTACCTCAGTAAACATTGTAAACATGAGTTTATGGTCTCAATCTCTAGTTTCAAGTCTTCTTCAACACAGCATGATGTTCATTTAGTACATGATGTTCCATTTAGAGTCAAACAGACCATAAAGCAGGGGATGCTTTAGGGCGGGGCTACGCGGTGATTGACAGGTCTCTACCAGAGCTACATGGCCTCAAACATTTACTTACCTGCCATGGATGTAAATACAGATCTGCTGCTGCAGCTGTTGTTACGACTGCTTCTTTGTTTTGCTCGCCCTGCATGCAGAGATAGTCTCATGTCCTATTTTAACTAATAATGATAAACGAACCTGCACATTCGTAATACCTTCTATGTAAACTTCCCCGTGTGCCTCTCTGTTTGTGTTCCAGGCTCGCCTGTGAACAACCAGCCGGTACTCATAGCAGTCCAGCGTCAGTTACCTCAAACCATTAAGCCAGTGACCTACACCATGGCCTCCCCAGTGAGCACCAGCACCTCCCAGCCCGCTATCCAGACGGTCCACGTCCTGCAGCAGATCCCGGTCGGGTCCCTCGGCTCCGCCGTCATCGCCCAGCCGGCCGCCATCATCAAGAGCGAGCCGCTGGAGAACGGAGAGCACACGGGGCTCAAAGGTGAGGCAGGAGCATGCTGGGAAATGTTGGTGTCGAGGGTTGTGTTCTAGTTTACTCGGGTAAAAAGAACAAAGGGTTTTTGACGAATTCATTTTAAGCATAATAACTCTTGGTGCTAGCCATAGATTATTAAATGCTTTTATTTATAAGCAAAGCAATAGATATAGATCTATAGATATGTGTAATTATAGTGACTTATGGAAATACATTGTAGCCAAAAAGATTAATATAAAAAGAGTAATATTGGGTGTCTGTACCAAAATCCAAGTATCATCCAGGATTATTATCATAAACTAAATAAAAACGATATCCTTTAAGAAAAACTGAATCAATATTATCTGTTTAAATAATTGATAAACATCAACATAGATTAGTCTCAGTCTTATTTAGTTCGCTGTGATGTATCACTACAGGAAACAGAAAGGAGACGGCATAAGTTTCCTCCAACGCTCGTGATGTTGAACCGCAGAAGCTGATCAGACGTTACGCTTCAACAGCGTCACAATGAATCCTTGTTGTTTTACACACACAGTCAAGTCTGGTAGAAGTAATCAGGAGCGGGATTTAAATATTGTAATAATGAACCGGAGTCGTCTTTCACTACCACACTCTGAAGAAAACAACACAAGTTGATCCCTCAAATCAAGATTTAAATAAAATGGCCTCTCCTTCACCGTGTACTCTGTATATACTCTGTATTTATAGCTACATACTTGTGAGCAGTTATACCTGGCTCTAACACACAAACTAAATGTATAAAGAGGTGCTGAGACTAAAATTGAATTTAAATAAATGTAAGATTCAAAGCTGTTATTTTGGCTCGGGTATCGAAACCTTCTCTGTTGGAAGTGAACCGTTTGAGGGAAGATGAGCTCTAAACGTTGTTCCTCTCAGTGTTATCAGTCTATCGCGGTCTCTGCTGGTCTCGGTTCCTCATCCCTCGTTCTGTCGTCCTCTCAGTCAAAGTGGAGGCGGTTCCCACCATCACCTCTATAGGCGGCTCCAGTCGCATCATCCAGAGCTCCCAGCCCGGCGGGCCCCTGCAGACTGTTACCATCGTGCAGCAGGCCCCCATCGGTCAGCACCAGCTGCCCATAAAGGCCATCACACAGAACGGCACCCACAGCATCACCACTGCCATCCACGGACCTGCCAGCTCAGGTGAGGCTTCATTAGATGTAGTTTCTTTAAACGTAGTGAGGGTGTTGTGCACTAAGTGACGCTTGATCGGACGTCTGCTTCATGGAGGAGCTGGAAGAGGAACAGAAGTTGTTCCTCAGGACTTGTTGGATGGACGTCACGAAGTCTGAAGTGGGAGAAAACTTTTGCTGCAATCCATTTTAAGTCGGAAGTTGATCATTCGTAGTCGGGATCTAAATGCCTCATGGTCAGGAGGCGACCTCTGCTTCTGACAAGTGAAGCCGATGCTTCATGTGTTAAAGCTGCATTCTCTCTAATGTCCACCAGGGGGCGACTCCTCTGGTTGTATAGAAGTCTATGAGAAAATGACTCTACTTCTCTCTTGATTTATTCCCTCAGTAAACATTGTAAACATGAGTTTATGGTCTCAATCTCTAGTTTCAAGTCTTCTTCACTACAGCATGATGTTCATTTAGTACATTATGGTCCATTTAGAGTCACACAGACCATAAAGCAGGGGATGCTTTGCAGATTAACTGATTGATTCGTGCTTGTTTCAACTCTAGTTTCATGTTGTCAGTAAAGACTGTTTGCATGATGGTTAGGAACAATAGATTCTGTATTATTTGGTACAGCAGCTGAGCCGACCTCAGGCCTCTTACACATGTTGCTTCACCACAGACTGAACCTACAGTGTTAACCCGTCTTGTCTCCCTGCTCTTCCAGCCGTGGCGAGCCCCCTCCACCTGCTGGCGGCGCACGCCTCGGCCTCGGCCTCCCTCCCCACCAAGCGACAGAACGGGGACCAGCTGGCCGGCGAGCAGCCCAACGCCAAGCGCATCAAATCGGAGGACGAGGCGACCCGCGGCCCCGTCAGCGCGGCCGACTCGGACTTGTCGGCAGCTAACGGCCCGGGCCTCAACTAGTCTGTACCACTACGCACCACACAACCCCCCCCCCCCCCCCCCC